ATCCTTAATTATTCAATTTATCATTATCCTTATCTTATCAATATAATCTATTATTATAATAATCCTATCCTTCTTTTATAACTAAAATCCATATCATATCGATATCGTAATCAATATTGTTATTATACTACATCATCCTCACCATCATTATTATTTCACATCATCTATCATAAGCCAAAAAGACGGAGAACACGGTACGACAGCATATAGTCCTACAGAGACACCGTGGGGAGGTGTAGAGAGCAGAGACCGTAAAGCTTGAACCAAGAATATAATCTACACTGAACCCGGATTTACCAGCGACATAATACCGAGGTGGGCAGTGTGAGAATGGGGAGGAAAGGGATATACACCGTGGATGTCCTAAATTCCTAGGGTTATCTTAATCATGAACGGGCCTACACCCCAGCTAAAGGAGGGTCTGTAAACATCAGGATTTTAAAAATACCCCAGGGCGTTCGTAGTGTCTGTATCAGTTTTATCAGGTTTACTAATACTGCAGAAAGGAAACCACATACAAAAATGACAAGTTCAAGACACGGTTACTCTAGCTTAAAGTTGTCATACATCCATTACAATGGGCCACATGGTGAGCGAAGACGACCATTGGTATGCAGAATACTCGAAAACCATCCCCGATGCTATGTTCATTATAAATCGCATTGCTCATACAATTGGAGGATGAAAGAGGGAAAAAAATTAGAGGCATTACCTACTGTTAGCCACAAACTGCTATTTTGTACCATTCCCCCCAATATAAACATGATCAACAGCCACCAACCAACGAAACAAACTCAAATAGTCAGAAAAATACACACACAAAAACTCATCACACTACGAAAAGACCCGACACCCTTCCAGCCCCGTCCCGGAATGAAGTCTGTCTGAATCCATCCGAGAACTTAACGTACAAGCCATTAAGGAAGTCAAACCTCTGGCAAAGACAAAAATTGATTGAACCATACATCGGAGAAATCCAAAGATAGGCCTAGTGACTACCTAACCACCAGTAGAGATGAACGTTATAACCAACAGAGGACCTCAGGTATGGTTGCTCTGAACACTTGTACTTTCTGCCTGAAATTTCAAAAGGTATCAAATCCAAGTACACCTAGCACAATAAATACCCCTGTTAGGAGCAGAAATTGAAAGGGAAAAGTGACTCCACAGACAGCTCAAGAAGCGAAAAAAAACGGAAATAAAAAAAGAGAACCACTCACAGCGGAAAAGGCCTGGAACCGACCCGGCAGGATATCAACTATCTATACCTATTTAACAGACGTTAAATCAAATAACTCTGTACTGTCAATGTCGCACCCAATTAGCACAAAAGTATTGTAGCACGCTAAATATCCACGCATTTAAGCAACATCCGCTGCCATTAATCTCATCTCTATAATATATCTATAAAAATCTATCTAAAAATATCTATTAAATACATATATAGAATAATAACTATAGTGTTCTTTTATACCTTAGAATGAAAGATCAGTCGATTCAGACATCAATCAAGGTATACTCGCTCCTATCAGCCTCAATACTTGCAATATTCAAGGTCCGCAAATACCCACAAATAAAATAACACAATTATTCAAACTATATAGTTATTTCACAGACCTATAGATTTTCTAATTATAGTTTCTGTTCGTCCTCTTAATTGCTGTAGTGACGGTCGGGAAGCAAAGATTGCCCCAACCTCTACACTAGAAACGTGAAAAACTTTCTTGTTTCAGCCTCCAGTCTAGACCAGGATTATGTGCAAAAAAGCTGGAACCGAGATAGCAGACAAGTGTATGAAAACTACTGTACCATTCGCACTACCACATATAGTCACCATGGCTTACTCGCTGATAACCCGAGATACCGGAGAGACCTTGTCCCATGCCAGGAGGAGGCGGACGCCACGCCCCTATTTCCTTGCCAAGGACACAGTCGGGGAAAAACTTCGGCCAATCGAAAACAGCACCGGGCGCAACTTAACTATACTTCTCAGCCCAATGAATATATATCAGAATACAATCATTCATAGAACTTACCAAATTTCAGAACGTGGCAAACGAAAAAGTGGGATAAAAAAATACTTGGGACCAAACACGTAACATCTGTTATTTTTCTACATTTCTAGCTCCATGCAGATATCAACCATTCAGAGCTACTATATTAACTTATTTTCATTCTCTTCCTTCCCCAACCTCTCTTTCCCCTTCCCCCTCTCATCGTCCCCCACTCTGCCCCTCTCCTCTTCCCTCCCTTCCATCTTTCCCTTCCTCCTCCCTCCCGCCTTCCCCGGTGAGTGACGAAAGGCAAGATGGGAAAAAGTGATATTTAGGCTACAGATGCAATCATAATCCTCCAACACAAACCATCCCATTAACAGAGCACCCCCCATTAGACAGATACCCCCTCCACCAGTTAACGAATCGATAAACCAATCATACACAGCGGGACC